AAGTCTTGGTGACGTATTCTCCAGCGTCTCCTCGTTCCTCGTGTGTGTGTGCAACGTGACAGTAATATAATATACACTGACACTACGAGTCAGCATTTTTTTGCAGTGGTGGAAATGAGCTTCTATACACTTTTTTTTTTTTTTAAAACCAGAAAAGGTTTTAGATTTTATTATAATGTTAATAAAAAAAAAAAAAAACTTGTATACTTTTACTGCTGTGTTTTTGTGTTTACTTGGTTTTTATTTAGTGTTTATGTAACTCTAGCCTTAGATGCTGACTTGGCAATAAAATAAATAACTACTACTCTCTCTCAGGAGCTGTGTAAGGATGGCGTGGAGGCTGACAGCAGTCCTCAGTTACTGGTGGATTTCTGGGAGGCTCTGTTAGTAGTATCCTCTCATGAATCCATCATCCAGGAGCTGCTGTTTCGTCTCACGTCCGTCTATATCGACAGTATCATGCGCAGAGATTGCTCCGGCGTCAAAGCCCTCAAAACTGCTGAGGATCTGGTGAGCGAGATAATGCACCCTAACACAGCAGGTGTTGAGAGTGCTTGTTTCTAGGTGATTACTGGAGTGTTGTGGGTGTTTGCTAGGGCAGGGGTTTTCTAAGTGGGGTCCAGTGACCACCAAGGGGCAGCAACTGAGGGCTGGGGGGTCTGTTGAAAAGTTTAGAGAAAAATCATGAAACAAATGTAAAAATTAATAGATAATAAAAAGGGACTAAAATAAAGCATTTGATCAAAATAATACATAAATAAGTGATTTAAATTATATATCTTACAGCACTACGTAATGTAGAAAAACTACTAGTGAGTAGAAAAAAATGTAATAGTGTAATTAAATATGATTCAATTAAATAATACACATAATTAAATATTTTTCAACTAATGTTTTGCACATTTATAATTATTTTTGACAGTATAAATTTTGACTTTATACATGACAATATATACCCTCAGATATTTCTAAATAATATTTGTACTTGGGGGTCCATGGCATCTAAACCATTGAAAACCTCACAGGACACTAGGACATTCTGGGGGGTTTAAGGGGGTTGCTAGATTTTAGTCAAGTCTAGTCAAGTCAAACTTTACAGTGAGAAATATCACAGAATCTATATAAAAAGTGAAAGTGACATGACGTGTAGCCAAGTATGGTGACCCATACTCAGAATTTGTGCTCTGCATTTACCCAAGTTCTTCCACACTGACTGAGTCAATCATTTCTTTTTGAACCTTGCCTTATACACAGAGGCATTGTCATGTTAAAAAAGGGTCCTGTCCAAACTGTTGCTGTAAAATTAGAAGCACACAATTCCCTAGAATATCATTATATGCTTAAACATTAAGATTTGCACTCATGGAAATGACTAAAGTAGTCAAACCTGTTCATTAGAAGGGGGTGTCCCAATACTTTTGGCAGTATATAGTGCGTATCTACAAGCAATATTTATTTTTGCCTTGGCAGACACATCTAAATAAGAAAATACAGACTATTTTTATGCCTAATTTAGCTTACAAAGACTTTAATGTCCCTCATTCCAGTTTAAAATCCATCAAATGTTTCTCGATGTCCAGATAAACTCCTGCTCTCATTATGGGATGTTGTATCCGTGGCTGAGCATCCTGACGCCTGTCCACCAGGAGGACCTGCACAAACTTCAGGTGTGTCCTGATAAATTTCTTTCTTTCTGGCAAGCGACATCATTAAATGATTCATATCAAGGTCCTCGAGGAAGTGCAGGCAGATCAGCTGAAGTAAAGGCCTAGTTTAACCTCAGCTCAGGAGATAATTCCTTAAAAGTTCACCCAAAAAATGACAAATCAGTCTTCATTTACTCAGCCTGATGTCATTGGCTATGTCTTTCTCATGTGGAACACGATAGAAGATATTTTGTTGAATATTGGCATCCAGTTGGTACATTTATTGCTCTCTCCTCTCTGTGTGCAGTCTCTGCTGCGTGGCCCAACACTGGAGGTCTTGTCCATCTTGCCTCTGCTGGAGCAACTGTCCGACTCTGACAGCACTGGTCTCAGTGTGCATGTGCTCTGTGCCACCAAACTGGGCCAACACGAGACATCCATCGACAGACGCCTAGACCGATGTCTGCAGGCCATCATCAGCTACGCCAACTATGAGCTACAGAACGACAAACTGGTAACACACTTAACCGCTCCAGTGATAAGGCATAAGGCTTCTAGCTACACATGCTCAATTTGTGCACTGCATTCTCAAATGCAAATCTTTAGAAGGGTTTGGAATCAGAGGTGACGTGACACAATAAATGGTGTCTCTGTTAATAATTTCTCTTCGCCGGCCGCTCTCTCTCCAGTCTCTGTGGTGGCAGAAGCTTTTCCCTGAGGTCTGGGACAGGATAAGAGCAACAGGAAATGATAACACCATCCTCCTCTCAGCGCTCACAGGTAGCAGTCGTTTTATGCTTCTGTTTGTCCGAACAACTGGATGAATTTGGCTGCTCGTGGAAAGTTGTCTTTTTTCTACTTCTAAATGTTGTGGCGGCCAAGGAGTTCCTGGACTTGCTGCCGGATGATGGAACGGCTTGTTTCTTCCAGCCACATCTACTCGAATGCAGCCAACGAAATCTCATGATATTTAGCATTTATTTTAGATAATCAGTGAATCAACACTACTGCTGCTTAGAATAGTGATAGCCAAAAAAATAGTTGAATAGTGAGCATGAACTGATCAGAAGTACGTGTTACAATTATTAATATAGTCTGGAATGTTTTAAGTTTACTT